GGGAGAGTTAAATCCCTCTTCTGCTCAGTAGTGCACATGGAGAGGTTTCTTCCTGAGAGCAAACCCCTCTGCAGTCAGGATTGAGCATCCATGTGCAGGAATAGAGGCAAAGAAACAAAGAGTCCTCTCTGAGGTCATTATAGAAGGCACTGTGCAATAATACCTCAAATTATTGTCTGTATTTGGGTTATGTAGATGGACAAGATAGGATCTTTTCCCTGTGTTTCCTCAAATTCCAATTTGATGGGAATGAATTGTTAAACTCAGGCAGTTCAACAAAGCAAAGGCAGGTAATTGGTCATCTAATGCTTGTGTAAATATTTCCAGTTCTTGTGATGGGGCAGGGTTGTGTGCACTTTGACTTTAATAATCTTCTTTTATTTTCCATCTTTCTTTAAATAGATGCAGAAATTCCTTCTCCATTGTTCATCACTTTGGGCTGTGTAACTGTGTCAACTGCTGATTGAGAGCCAGGGGAGCAGGAGCCTCTCTGTTCATTCCCCCAGGTCTCCTTTCTGAGGATGTTTTTATTCTTGGATCACAGCAGCTTCTGCTGAAGTGTTTGTGGCTGGCACTTGGTGCATTTTTACTGCATTTAGATCAAAAGGGTGACACTTGCATGAATCCCCATCACTGGAGTGTGACCGTGTTCACAGGGGTCTGAGGGTGAGGGAAGAGATGAGGATCTGACTCTAAGTTTCAGAAGGCTTGATTTATTATTTTATGATATATATTACATTAAAACTATACTAAAAGAATAGAAGAAAGGATTTCATCAGAAGGCTAGCTAACAGTAGAAAAGGAATGATAACAAAGCTTTGTGGCTTGGCTCTCTGTCCGAGCCAGCTGACTGTGATTGGCCATTAATTAGAAACAACCACATGAGACCAATCCCAGATGCACCTGTTGCATTCCACAGCAGCAGATAACCATTGGTTACATTTTGTTCCTGAGGCCTCCCAGCTTCTCAGGAGGAAAAATCCTAAGGAAAGGATTTTTCCTAAAACATGTCTGTGACACTACTGGTGTCATTCTGGTGTAATTAATTAATCTGTTATTGAACTTGCTCAGAGTTTGATGGGAAACCCAATAAACACAAAAGCACTTTCTGGGTGCTGGATGTCATTCCGTTGTCAGTGGTGTGACTGGTGTTGCCCACTTTTTTGGTCAATATTCTCTAGGGATTAGGGGAGAAAAAGCCATCTAGCCCATGTAGAAGGCAAATAAAATCAGTCACTATAGCAACTGCAGTCATTGTTCATCACACTAAGTTTAGTTCCCCTGTACTCTGTAAAAATAACCTGTGTGTCAGCTTCCTACCTGGCTGGGGCTGTCCTGGCCCCAGAGCTGACAGAAACTCTGCAGGGTAACTCCACAATGAGTGCTGGCTGTCCCCAGGTGGCAGGAACCCCAAATTCCTTGGGATTGAGCTCCCTGCAGCTCCAGAGGGTGCTGCTCCTTCTCCTGCAGGACTTGGGCTTGTTCTCTTCTAATCTGGGGCCTTGGCCTTTTACAGCTGAGCTGGTATTTCTGTTCAATTCAAGGTGAGGCACAGGGGCACTGAGAACTGATTTGCTTTAAATGAAGTTTCAGCCTGTGGGCCTGAAGTGCTGTTACAGTGGTGAGAAAGCTCCCATTGCCTGGAGGGACTTTTCCTCATCCCTTCCTGGAACGGGGCCACCACAATCCAGGCAGAAAAGGAAAAAGTGGAAGAGCTCTTGGAAGCTTTTCCTGTGATGGGTACAAGGGGGTCTGTGCCTCTGGGAGGTGACGTCTGGTGACATCTCACATCTGATGAGTCCCAAGGGATGTGCAAGGTTCCCTCCTCCCTGTGAGTGGTGCCTGAGCCCTCATCATCCTTTGGTCCTTTTGTGATGCTGAGAAGGGAGAGCTCTGAAGGACACGGGGCTGTTTGAACTGTTAATGTTCATTTCCTTGCTGTTATCAGTTTGCTTGACTCTAAACCCAGTTCTTGTGTTTGTATCTGAAAATTCAGCAAAGTCTCCCTTGGGGTGTTCTCTGGGCATTGGGTCTGCATGCAGTGACATGATTCATTCAAAGCCAAATAGATTTTACTTATCCAAAAAAAAAAGGATGCAAAGTAGTGCAAGAGGTGAATTTCAGTCATTTAGCTCATTTTTCATATATTGAAGATGCTGAAAAACAGGTAAGGGAAGGTTTGACTCTTGCTGAACGCCCTGTGATACTGCTGGTTACACAGTGCTTGGTTTTACAAAAATCCAGATAAATGGTTATGAAATGATCATCTCTGTTAATGGCAGCAAACCTGCCTGCTGAAATGAAATTACAAGCTGCTTATAAACCTCAGAAAGTAGAGAGCTGTACAGTCATTGAAACAAATGGGAGCTGTACCTTCTTCTCCAGTAAAAGTGTAAATTGAAATCTGGGGATTCTGGTGTTGTTTTGCTTGTGCTGCTGTGTGTGTGACCTTTTCTGTGTGTTTTTCATAAATTTGTTGTCACCTAAAGGGTGTTATCCATCAGTTTGGCCAGAGGAGCTGCTGGGCAGCCCAGGCCAGGTGCAGCTGCTGTCCCTGGTGCCAGATGTGGGGATGGGTGAGGGCTGTGGTGCTGAGCTGATCAGGAGAGGAGGCTGGGGAGGTGCCACAGGAGAATATTTTTATTTACAGCTACAACATCCTGCATGTTTCCAAGCAGGGCAGGTACAAGCTGCTCTCAGGTGGGGTTTGCAGCAGGTTACAGGGAATGGAACAGAAAACAACAATTTGTGCTGAAAACACACATTTTTATCACAAACCATGAATTACTTAAAGTCTCCAAGACACCTACCAACACCAGATTTAATGCTCGAAGAATGAATCCTTACATGTACAAAACCCACCAGTCACAGAGCTGCAATACTGCTATTAATGTAGAAATTCATACTGGAATTTAACAATCCACCTAGAGACAATATCAAGGGAAAAGATGAACTGAAATTTTCCTGGCATGATTTCTAATCTGAAAATAACAAACTGCTCTTTAAAAATATGGGCTTGGGAATAAATAATTGATTAGTATTGCTTAACAGTAAGTGCATATACTGCTTATATTTCATCCACTAATATCACCTCAGTAAAAACCTCAATTCATGGCTTCTGCTTCTGTATTTAAAAACATTTGGTGTTATTTAGGTTATTAGCACAATCGTGGTTTATGAATAAAAAAATAAATAGGCTGTGAAATAATGTTGTGACTACAATGAAGATTTTGTTAATATTGCAAAGAAAAACAAACCCACATCCCTGGAAGAAAAAGACAGCTTTGATCATTTGGAAAATCAAAAATATCCTTTTGGAACAGGTACCCTGGTAATGATATGCACAGTGTTCACTCCCCAAACCCCTGTGCTGGCTAATTATGGTAATTACAGCACTGTGGTACAAGTGTTTGACAGCTGTGTTGGCAGGGCTGTGGATTTGCTTCTGTGTGAAACTCCTCTGAAAGAAGGCATTCCCATGGAGTTTGGGGCTTGAAAAGGAATTCTTTACAGAATAGTGCCATTTCATGTTTTCCTTCCAATCTGGGATGAAAATATTTTCAAATATTTTCAAATATGTCAAAATATTGAGATTGCGCTCAGAGTTGATGAGGGAGAAGGTTGTTCCCTCTTTGTTTGTTTATCATTTTTCCTCCAGCTGCCCTTCTGGGGCTTCCCAATGCTTTTCTGTTTGTAGGAGGCACCACTGTCCCTCCTTCCCCAGAGATGCCCAGGAGGAGGATCCTGCAGGAGGATCCCTGGGGGGAAACAGGGACAGCTCTGGGTGGAGAGTTGTTGTTTAAGCAGAATTGTTGTCTAAGCAGAATCATTTCAGCAGAATCGTTTCAGCAGAATTGTTTTGTCGGGATTTCTATCTGGTCAGAGGGACCCCGAGAAGAGTTCCAAAGTCTCTTTTCCCAGCCTGGCACTTGAAGAAGCAGTCAGAGCTCTTCATTTCTCGGTCTCAAGGTTGTTTATTGTATCTTATCTATAAAATTGTTTCTCCTGCCCTGCCCAGGTCCATCCAGCAGGACAGTTCCAGGCACTCTGCCTGCCCCAGGGCAGTGTTATGTCTTTATACTAAAAACTACATGTACAATGTTTACAATTACTTCCCAATACCTATCACCTGTGTTAGACAGTGAGCTTCTACTCTAAACCAATCTGTAAGTGCCACCATCACAGCAGAAGATGGAGGCCAAGAAGAAGAAGAAGGAGAAAGGCTGGACATGCCCAGTTCCCTCCATCTTGCCTCCTGAACCCCCATACCAAAAACCCCAAAATCTACTTTTCCACCCTGTGATAACTTCACTATTATTCTACTTAATTTGTCATGGCTTGCAGATCTTCACCCAAGGTTGGTAACTTGCTCCATGGGTCACAATCAAACCCACAGGCATCTTGGGCTCTGTGCCAGGGTCTCTGAGCCCCCAAACAGGGGTCTTGGCTGCTCAGGACAGACAGAGGGATGTCCTGGGTCCTGACATTGTTCAGCAGAATTGTTTCCCAGCTTTGCTCCCAGGGCTGCCCTGCACTCTCAGCCTCCCTGGCTCCCCTTGGCCCCATAGGTGCCCCCAGAGCCCCCCTGCCCAAAGGATCACTCTGCTTTGTCCCTAATGCTCACCAAGTGGCATTTCCAGAGATTCCAGAGACAGGGGCTTTGCCCAGCTGAGGGCTGAGCATTCAGAGCTGCTCCTTCACTGAGTGCTGGAGGAAGTTATCTTTTGCTGCACTAACTTTGTAAGCTGACAATTAAAAGATCCCTAAAATACATATTTTCCTAAGCTTCAGCTGCAATTTCTAAAGTTTGAAGCATAACCAATACATGCACTTTAAATTTTAGTAGAGCTTTACCCTGAAACTGCATAGTTCATCATGATCTGTTTGGGTTTGTATTGAAAAGCAACGTGAGACTTTTTGGAGGAGATAATCCAAGCCAGGGAGATAGGGACCATCTGCAGGCTGGCCATTCCCTCCTGGAGAGCCTTGTGCCCCTCTCCTCACATGCAGCTTGTTTCTTGGAGCCCTCCCACAGCACCACACTCTGGATCTCTCCTTTGGGCTTGGCTGGGCTTTGGCAGAAGCTCTTCAGAACCTGGGGTTTGTTCTTGCTGTTTCAGCCTGGGCAAGGAGCTCTGGGGGGATTTGTTGCACCTCAGGAGCTCCACAAAGCACCTGTGAAACTGGCACACAAAGAGAACAGCAAGTCAGCAGGAGTTTAATGCAGCTCAGGTTTTATAAGCCGGGCTTTATCTCATGATTTGGTGTTAATTAAGTTCCTGGGATAGCTCTGGAACAGCATGGGTGTGACAATATTTTGTATTGAAGGTTGAAATTTTGTCAAATAAAACATATCTATTGAATGCAGGGAGCCCTTGATGCAGGGAATGATTGGCATCTGACTCCATGATTCAGAATGCTGAACAATTGCTTTATTAAGCTATACTACATTACATTAATGCTATATTATAACTATACTAAAGAGATGCTATACTATACAAAAGAGACTAAAGAAAAAACTGTGACTGAGACAGCCTGGACACAGCTTTGAGCTGTCACAGATATCTTTTATGAAAAATCCTTTCCTTAGGATTTTTCCTCCTGAGAAGCTGGGAAGCCTCAGGAACAAAATGCAAACATTGATTATCTGCTGCTGTGGAATGCAACAGGTGCATCTGGGATTGGTCTCATGTGGTTGTTTCTAATTAATGGCCAATCACAGCCCAGCTGGCTTGGACACAGAGCCCAAGCCACAAACCTTTGTTATCATTCCTTTCTTTTCTATTCTTAGCCAGCCTTCTGATGAAACCTTTTCTTCTATTCTTTTAGTATAGTTTTAATATAGGATATATAATAAAATAATAAATCAGGCCTTCTGAAACATGGAGTCAGATCCTCATCTCTTCCCCAGTCAAAGAGCCCCTGTGAACACGGTCACATTGAGCCAACTGGCCAAGGAAACAAAACAATCCTCAGCAGAATCCAACTGACAAATCCTCTCAGGTGAACAATCTCCATAACACACTCCACATGTGCAACGTGCAACAACAACAGGAGCAGAGAATAGAGATAGGATTTGTTTTCTCTTCTTCTCTCTGTGCTTCTCCAGGAAAATCCTGGGAGAGAGAATTGTGTGTCTCTCTGTCCAGAGAATGTGAATGTCACACATGTCCTTGTGCCAAGAGTCCTTGTGCTCAGCAGAGCAGCACAGAGGGGAGAGAGCCTTGAACAAAGTTCTGGGACAGGTCGCAGGCCTCCAGCAGCTGCCCTGTGTTTTATTGATCACAGACATTACTGAGTTTGTGCAATGCAGAGAATAGAAGGGACTAAAGCTTCCCCGGCCTGCAGGATCTGTCACTGGCAGCAAACCCTGCTGTGCACAGGGATTTTGGGGAGCTGAGAGTCACTCCTGCTGCCTCCATCAGGGTGTGGATACATCCCCTTGCTCAGAGTGGGGAATGGATTGAATTAATTGAGTTACCAATCAAACTGCTGGCTGCTTTGGTTTGGGTCTGACCAGGGAAAAGACGAGATGTTTAAGCTCTCAGGAGGGGCTGGTTCAATACCCATAACTGGAGGGATTTTTTCAGTTGCACAGCAGAACATTCTGTGGATCTGAGAGCAGAGGGAATGTGCAAAGCATGAGGACAAGGAAATTGCCTGTAGCTGAAAAAATGGGGATTTAAGGTGGTGTGGATTGTGTGCATGGCCTCCCCAAGGCTGCAGGGTCAAAGGCTGGTAACTGACCTCTACACTCAAGAATCCAAAACAACGTTATTGGTAATTCTTTTTACAACACAGCTTCTAGCAACGAGCTCTGACAATTCTTGTTATCAACAGCCAAGTGAAAAATCATGCTGGTTTTTCATCAGCAGCCTTGCTTGCTGGGCAAAGTGGCTTTTTAAAAGTTTTACACAATTTTTGTATCAGCTGAGGTTCCTTTTTTTTCAATGAGAAACTGCATTTTGTCAGGACTAAAAACTTACTTTGTAATAATCAGAATTTTTTCATCAGCATTGAAATATTAAGCAGCTTCAAAACTCATGGGCAGTACTGTCTATTTTATATTTTTTTCTTTGCCTCTTCCCCTCCTGGTCAAGCTCACATGGCTCTTCCCAGGTACCTTTCTGCAGCTGTTTAATCCCCAGTGAATTCCTGTTTCACTGGAGAGTCTCCTCAATCTGCTTAACCTTCACCTGGTCCTTGCCTGGATGCATTTCCTGCATGTGAATGTTATTTTATCTGGCCTGTTCTCAGATTTTATCTAGATTTCTGAGCATTGACCAGAGCAGGGGGGGAGCCTGGACACAGAATTGTTTTAGGAATAGCCCAGAATCAGAGGGCAGTGTCGCTGTGGGAGCTCTCAAGGCAGATGCCCACGGCCTCAAGTATGCTGTTGGTGTTCAATGTGGTTTTCTGGGTGACCTGAAACACCACAACAATTAATTTACACCTGAAACACCACAACAATTAATTAACACCACAACAACAGCTCCTGCTTTCCCATGCCTGGCACTCCTGGGTGGCTGCAGCATCTTCTGGCCTGAGGTTCTCTCCTGAGTGCAGGCAAACCCAAACTATTGACTTCTCATTCTGCACTGAGTATAGAACCCTGAGCACTGATTGCTGCTGAAATACCAACTGAGCAATGCAAACCAAGTGGAACTGAAGAAAAATTTTAAAAACCCAACCTCAAAACCCCCTCCACAAACAAAATGAAGCGTGTGTGGAGCGCCTGGAGTAAAAGTTCATGGTGAACTTCAGGAGTCTGACATGGACAAACCCAGTTTAATTTGTGTCTAGCTGCTGTTTGTGTCAGCAAGCTATTCAGTAAAAAGATTAATTTAGAATTGTCTGTAGAAGACTCCTGTGCACAGTCTGTGTTGTTTTGGAGGGCTCTTTGCAGCCATGCACACGTTCAGATCATTCTGGGATTTCTGAGCTGCCTCTCTGGGGGCGAGCAGGGCTGGGGGTGTTGGGAGTGAGGCAGAATTACCTTTTATGTGCTGGGCTTTCCCTGGCAGGGGATGGCAGCAGCTCCCCAACACTGCAGGGGTTTTATCAGAGAGCTTATTCAAAAGCTAAATTATAGAGGAGAAGGGAAAGAAGGGCTCCTATCCCAGGGAAGGTGTCAGGGAATTCTGCACCACCTGGGCTGTTTGTGGCACTGAGTGGAGCTGGTGGATGCTGAGGAGATAGATGATGGATGCTGTGGGGATGAGGGATGGTGTCATGGAAACTTTCACTCCCTGGCAATTTCTCATGTCCCAGGAAAAATACCCACAGCTAATTCGAGCCAGACTTAAATCAATCTTTTACCATCATCGTTCGTTTCCAAGAGAGAGCGAGCAATTTACTGTCTGTGCTTCCTAACAGCTTCCAAAAACCATTTCAAGTGGACAATTTGCTGGACCCAGGGAAACAAATGATCCACCTGCTGTAATCCCAGCATTGCAGAGATCAGTGCAATGGGCTGGTGGAGCTGGAGCTGCCTGAGGGATTGGAGGAGCTCTGATGCTCTCTGGTTTTCTCTGCAGATCTCTGCTCATCCTCACTTTCATTGTCAGTCCCTGTGCCAGGGGCCAGCCCAGCTTCTCTGGCACTGCAGATCCTCACCAGCTCCTGGAGGGGAGAGCAGGACAAAGAGTGCCTGAAGGATTTCAGGGCGGTTAAAAGAGTAAACCAGGAGTAAATCAGAGAGCTGGGCTTGTGAGGAGGAGGAGTTGCTGTGGGCAATGTGCTGGGCTGGGTGTGGGGCAGCAAGGGCTCAACTCCTCACAACACTTCACACATCTGAGACACCTCAGACAATGCCTGGTGCTTCCACTCTTGCCAGAACATGGATTTCTTCTCTTTTTGGTGAATTGGGCAATAGAAAGGAAGGACCAAAAAATCATTTGCTATTTGCACATGTGGGGAGCTGCTTGTCCAACTGCCAAAAATGCAGATTTGTTGAATAGATTTGCTCCTTGGAGCTGTTTTTCAGAGCTTCCCTCTCATGGATCTGGGTGATGTCACTGATGCTCTCTTTATCTCCTGTGGTTATTAATTGTTGTGGTGTTGTGGGTCCCAGGACGAGGTGAGAGATGAGAATTGACTCCAAGTTCTCAGAAGGCTGAGATTATATTATATTATATTATATTATATTATATTATATTATATTATATTATATTATATTATATTATATTATATTATATTTATGATATACCAAAACTATACTAAACAAAGAGAAAGGAGACATCAGAAGGCTAGAAAGGAATGAATAATAAAAACCCCTGACTGACCAGAGTCTGACACAGCTGGACTGGTAATTGATTGGTAATTAATTAAAAACAATTCACATGGAACCAATCAAAGATGCACCTGTTGGTGAGCAACTTCCATACCACATACCAAGCAATCAGATAATATTGTTTACATTTCTTTTCTGAGGCTTCTCAGGAGAAAATCCTGGTGAAGGTTTTTTATAAAACATGACAGTGCCAATCTCCCCTCGTTATTTTGTCCCTCCTTGCACAGATGGAATCTGGAGGGAAGGGAAGGGAAGGGAAGGGAAGGGAAGGGAAGGGAAGGGAAGCATTTCACTGACCTGTTTGTTCAGAAACACGTAGATGATGGGGTTGTAGACAGTGCTGCTCTTGGCAAGGATGGCTGGGACGATGCTGGCTGCAGGGCTGATGAGGCCAGGCTGCCCGAAGGTGGCCAGCAGTGCCACAGCTGCGTAGGGCAGCCAGCAGAGGAGGAAGCACAGCACCATCACCATCACCATGAGCAGGACGCGCTGCTCCCGGCCCCGGCCCGGCCCCCGGGGCAGGCTGCTCACCTGGGACAGAGCACAGCCAGGGTCACCCTGCTGGCACGGGCACAGGGAGGGTGCTGCTGTGTCCATTGGGTATTGCACAAACAGGGCAGCACTGCTGGGGAACCTTCCTTGAGCTTTACTGCAGCATCAGCCTCGGGACATGGCTGAGGCAGGGGGAGGATGGCAAAGCGCAGGTACAGCCAGCAGCAGCCAGAGGTGGCTTTGATACAGAGCATCTTAAAAGCCTTTCTAGCCAATGGCACATTGCTAAAGCTTACAGACAGTTGTTCTAGCCAGTTACTAAAAGCACATGTACACCTGCTTCCCACGTTTGCTTGTCTGCTTTCTATTAACAATACACAATACAACATTATTAAGCTTAAAACCTTCTACCATCTTGCTAAGCACATTTTCCTGCAGTCTTAAGGTCCATCTTAGCAAAGCCTAAGACTCAAGCTATTGTTTTTTGTCCTTGCTTGTTCTATCATTGCAACTTTTTCTACCTCCACACTTTGCAGCTACAGCTGATTTTAAGTTCCTCTGCTGTTTCTAAGGTTTTCTTTCCCTTTTTTTTCTGAAAATCTTCTTACCTTTACTATTTCCCACACCTGGGAGCTCCTGGGGTGGCTGCACTAAGGGCAGGGGTGGGGTGGTCAGTGCTGAGTCTGCTCCTGACAGCATGGCTGTGATGCCTTTTGGGGCTACCTAAAAACAGAGGCCAGACAAAATTAAGAGAATAAAGAGCAGTTCTATTTATTGAAGGGCCTTCAGGTTCATTTAGGGCAGACAAAGCCCCACAGGGGTTACACCCAAAAATGGACCATGGCTCACAGGTTTTCACACTTTTATGAGTTTGATCCATTTGCATATTGGGGGTTCATCTGCCAATTCCAGCTTCAGGTAGTGAAGCCATGTACCCCCAGTTTGCTCCCCCCAACTCACTTTTGTGTCCATCTCTGGGGTCTGAGGCAGTGAGGTGTCCTTGATTGCCAGGCCTGGAGAGGAATTGTGTCTGCCCAAAATGGGAAAGCAGCAGCTCACACTGTGTGTGGAGTTTAGAATCACGGAATCACAGAACAATGAGGTTGGAAGAGACGTCTAAGATCAGTGAGTCCAACCTGTGCCCCAACACCTCAACCAGACTATAGCACCCAGTACCATGTGCAGACTTTCTGTAAACACATCCAGAGATGGTGATTCTGCCAACTCCCTGGGAAGAGCATAAAGAGTTATACACTAAAGAACTGCAGGATTACAAATACATGAAGAACACACAAGCTGAAATCCCAAGGCATCAGCATGACCAGCACAAGTGCTCAGCACCTACCACAGCCCCCTCCAGCTCCCTGCAAACCCCAGATTTTAGCAGGAGTGTCCTGGGCAGGAGGCAAGGAGGGGAATGAGCCTGGTGTGAGCAGAGGCAGCAGCTCCCAGAGCCCCAGAGCCTGTGCCCAGTCCTGCAGGAGATGCCCAGGCAGGATGGATGTGCTTGCACCCACAGCACTGGGGCTGAGGGAATCCCTTCCCTGGACCCGTGGCAAAAGGCAGCACCTGAATGAAAGTGATTTACATCAGGCTCCTCCTCTGGGCTCGGGGCTCACAAACCTGAGACTAAATCCCACTGCATGAAGCCATGCTGGCCTGCTTTGCTGTTGTCTGTGTGCTTGGAAAACCAGAGTTTTCAGTGGCTGCTGTGTCATGCCTGCACTCAGAAGTGCTGCAATAAGCACAAGGAACTCATTATTACAAGCAGTTTTATGGGGAATCCCCAGGATGTATTTGAGTGTTGGAAGTCACCTTGAGACTAATTAAAATACCCAACCAAAACTGTTCAAAAAATAGAACATATCTGTAATTGCCTGCTGAGGGAACTCAAATATCAAGTACTTTATAAATATCTTGTTAATGTGCAAATGAAATATTTTATGACACTTGTCTGTGATTTAAAAGGAAAAAAAAAGTGGCATTTGCTGCTAGGCAAATAAAGTTGTTAATCAAAATATTTCCATTAGCAAGAAGTGAATATTTCATTCAGAGCCACCCACAGGCATCAGTAGCTCAGATTCATTCACAGCCATCTCAGACAAAACTCACATTTATCTTCTTCCATTGTATCTCATGGAGCTGATAAGAATTTTGCACTCCACATTTCATTGGTGTGGATTTCTTGAGAGTCTGTCATGCCTTGGTATAAAACTTCACCCAGGCTGTGTGATGAAGTCCAGACAGCTGGACTGGGGTGGGAGCAGGGCTGGAGACCAGAGAGGGGCTGAATTTCCATACTGTGTGCTTGGTTTGGTTTGTGAGGCTCCTGAGGAGAGGCACTGCAAGGCATCAGCACCAGCTGCCAGGGCTCTGCATCCCCAAACAGATCCCAGCCCTGCATCCCCACACAGATCCCAGCTCTGCATCCCCACACAGATCCCAGCTCTGCATCCCCACAGAAATCCCAGTCCTGCATCCCCACACAAATCCCAGCTCTGCATCCCCACACCAATGCCAGCTCTGCATCCCCACACCAATGCCAGCTCTGCATTCCCACACAAATCCCATCTATCCATCCCCACACCAATCCCAGCCCTGCATCTCCACACCAATCCCATCTATCGATCCCCACACCAATCTCAGCCCTGCATCCCCACACTAATCCCAGTTCCTCTGAGCCTTCCTGAGGTCCTCCTACCCACCCCATGCCAGCAAACACCAGGGGAGGTGGTTGGTGAGGGTTTGCCTGTGGAGCACCTCAAGGAAAACCAAAAGCTCCCTTTGGTTTTATTGATTTCCATCAGTTCCAGAAAAGGAAACCCAACCACCTGTTCCTTCTGGTAAGGCCAGAGAGGACAAATGTTTTACTGGTGTGTTCTAGCTGGACAGTAGTTTCATGTTGGGACTCAGGTGTTTATTATTCCTTGTCAGTAAAACAGTCTCACTGCTGTGAGTTCAGCAGCTTTTCATTAGAAGGCACAAAATGGCCAACAATCTCTTGGTACAAGGTGTCCTAAGACTAAACTATCCAATTAAGACTAAACTATCCAATTAAGACTAAACTATCCATTAACTATGACACCTGGATTATTTTCCCTTTTAACCCAATAACTGATCCCACAGAGCCCACAGTGCAGACTGTTCTGCCCAATTACAAAATGCCACCCAAACCCATGGAGAAGGAGGAAGAAGAAGCTGAAGAAGAAACCCAGGACAGCACCCTCTGCCCTCCATCTTGCTGCCATCCACAACACACTAAAAACCCCAAACCCTCAATTTCTCACCCAGTGATGCACCTGCACTGCTCTCTATAATCTATCGCACACTTTTGTGGGTTCCAGTCTATCTTGAAGTCTGGGAAACTTTCTCCATGGATGAGGGTCAGAGTCAGTGCTGCCCTGGGGGTCAGGGCACCCAGAGCAGACACAGGAATATTCCCTGTGGTGCCCTGGGTTTCCACAAGAAATTTTGAATATCCTCCCACTTCTGTAACTCTCCTTGAAGCATTTTTTGCTTTTGACTACAAGGCTCCCCTGGTCAGCCAAGGAAACCTGAGATATCCATATTTAGCACACATGCAGAAAACTTCTGCAAAACCAAATCAAACCCATCAACCTTGAAATGTGCTGCCCCCCATCAGCAGATGGAGACTTGGCTGTGGGCTGTGCCTGGCACCAGATCACCCTCTGGAGGTGGGCAAAGCAAAGAGCTCTGCTAAAGTGATGCTGCTGAATGGTGCCGTGGGCTTCTAGTTTAATTTCGTCTTTTTTATTATCACTGCATTAATTAAAGGGGTGGGGCTATTTTGGGGCTATGATTTACTGCTCAGATAAACATCAGTCTCAGAGGCTGTGAGGTTTTAGAGGAGCAAGCAGTCAGCCATAGCTCAAAGCAGTCACAAGTTCTTCATTACAAGGCAATATAAACCTTCTGATCCAATGGACAGTTGCCACAGGGTTTATTTTGCTTTTCTAACCTATCACCTTTACTCACTTCTACTGCACTGCAGATACTGTTATCCAATGGGCTATTATCACACATACACACAAGTGCTTCTATTGCAACATCTAAACTCTTAACTTGCTCTATACAACTACATTACTACACTATAAACCCTCTACCACCTTATCAATGCAGTTTCTCACTTACTTAAGGCATACTCTTCCTTACAACTATAGAAACATAAATTTATTATTTTTCTGCTTAATGTCTGTGTATTGTATTTTTACATCAATCCAGGCTTCTCCCAAGACTGCAGATCAAACCCTCATGTGTGTGTGGAAGTTTCTGCCTTTCAATTTCCCACAGTCTCAATAACTTCCAGGAGATCCAAGAGCACAGGTCTGGCCTGTGCCTGCCCTTGGTTCTGGCCCATGGAGGGTGGAATTCAGCCCAGGCTGCTCCTGGCTCAGCAGCAGCAGGAGTTCAGCACAGGGGAACCCTGACTGTGCACTCTCCTCTGCTTCTGGCTTGGTCAAAAATCTAAACTTCAATCTGCTCTGCAAGAAATTTGTTTTTAAAATCTCACTGTTTCTGTAGGGTTTGGTATAGAAAACAGCTGTGAAAAATGTGCTTTTATAGCCTTCATATTTTCTTCAGTGGAAATTGAGTCTCTGTTCCTTCTAAAATTATCTTTTCAGTTTATTAAAATTAATTTTGCCTCTGTATCACAGGTTCAGTGTTGCATGTGTGTCCCAGTGTGAGCTGCCCAAGGTGGATCCATTGATAGATCCTTTTAATAAATCCCTACTTTATTCTTTATCTCCATCCATCCTCTGTTCCATGCCAGCCTTTTCAAGGCACGACTGGGAGCTCTGCCAGGTCAGGCAGGACTTGGGATGATTCCTGATCTTGGGTTTCTTCCCAGGTTCCCCAGTTCCTGCCAGAGCAGGATGAATTCTGCTGCTTCAGGGATGGTGCTGAGGAGCCCACGAGAGGTTCTGCATTCCACTGCCAGTTTTGTTTATTTTAGCAAAGAGAAGGGAAAGATTTTGGGATAGGAAGGGAGAAATCCATGTTAGCAGGACTGGGGAGCT